TTATTAAATAATTATTATAATTACTGTATAAATATTATTTATAAAAGAATATCTCAACGTGTCCTCTGTAATATTGCACAAGATTACGTATAATAATATATTACAATAAATTAACGATGTGGTCCGACAATGGAGTTTAAAACGAGACTTAATCCTCCCAGGCTTTTAGGAAGCACTCATGACACGATAGTGTTCGAGCAAACTGCATTCGGGTTTAGGTCAAACGCGCCAATGGTAATGCCATGGAAATCGCAAGCATCTGAGTGCGCTAGTGTTACGTTATCGCGTAATGGGATATATATACGTCGGTGTATCGAATTGCACATCCTAGATGCATGCACGTAGGTCTTCCCGCCATCATCCTGGCGCCAATGAGTGCGCTCTCAACAGCCCTATCTTCATCGGGCATAAATCCTCTGGTCCATCGAGCGAGATTTTGATGCTGCGTGTAAACATTTGTGTGGTTCACCGTTTAAACATCGTAGATATTTCCAAATACTATAGACGATCTTTTTGACGTGAGACTCACTCGAGCGAGTTTACTTATTACTTCAGGCTACAATAGCTACAACATGGTCGACACATTAGAGAGACGAAAGTGATTTATTGTTATACTACTGGTATCAGGAATTTTCTTAACTTTTTGCTTGTCTCTACGTTTTATTATTAAAACTTCGTTCCATTTTGAATTACTTAGGCAAAAGTATTTTCGAATATATTACTTTGGAAGACACTTAGAATAGTTTCCTTTCCATCTGTCAGGCTTACATCGAGGTTGAAAAAAAGGAGCCCAATAATTCGTCATCCCAATTCTTTCCTATTTCATATTATATTAGTAGTTTTCAAATCTTTTAACTTGCACCGTGGCTATTTTCATGAATCTTCATGTTGCATGAAATTTTTTTATTATGTCTCTCCATTTATATATTCGTTTTTTTTTTTATCCAAATTGTTTAATATGGAACATACAAAATATTTGTGTCGAAAAAATTTAGAATTATAATTTGACATTTCATTCGACATTTCAGTGTGTACGAAAAATAGTTTCGAAATTAGTAAAACGATGAAACATTTTTATTTTTAATATGTTTTTGTATTTTAGGATTCATAATTAGAAAGTGGAATGTTTGCATTATCGCAAAATATTCGATAATATAGCCGCTTGATGTCATAAAGAAATTGAATATCATCAATTTCGATCAGATCATGTTCCTTGTAAATAAAACATCCCTCTCGAAGCTTGTATAAAATACAACTACGAGTGTCACAGTTAGTTATATGCTCGAAATGTTTGAATATCCATGCACTGACATTTTTAAAACAGCGAGAGAAATGTGATGCAAGGGATTTCGACAATATTTTTTAACTGGTATATATTCAAGCCTGAAAATGTCACTTGGCTGTGTTGCATCTCGCTGTTCTATTGATGTCGCAACGAACAACGCTGATGCGTTTCACGTAGTAATTGCACATAGAAAACGTTAGCAAACAAAATTAGTACATTTCATTTATTCCGACAGTTTATTACTTTCGTGACTTAAAATGAATATGAAATAAATTTTATTTTATAAAATAAATATGAAATAAATTGTAGAATATTAACTCTTAAAAATATATAACAAGATTTGATAAGACTGCAAAATATGTGCGCAGTAATAAAAAAAAGATTTCTGAATTGCAAAGAAATTCATTATAGTGATTCTGTTAATGTTAAAATTGCAATTAATATAATCCTAATCATTTTGAACATCTTGTAATATTTATTTATTGCATAACAAAATTACACATGCTGATGTAATCATTCATAGTTGCGTTCTATTGATGTATATTCCCAATAATTAAATCATTTCTAACTAAAACTTTTTTTTTTGTATACTTCTCTTCCGCATTTAGTAGATCATTGATCAATTGGGGGTACGATTGGAAAAGAGTGCATTTATTTCAAATTTCTTATTTGTGTGTTTATTGGATATCGTAGAAGTATTTGCAGTTTTATAGACAATGGCTGTAATTGAATACATTTTTCCCACTATTCCTTTTGCCGTATGCCTCTTTTCCAGCCGCAATTGACATTTTCCATTTAGAACTGCAGATTAGAAAGCTACGTTTTCTGTGTGCAATAACACGAGCCTCTAGGAACGATCGTATTAGTATCGTTTCTCGCTGAGATCATCCTCTCTGTCTGTCTTCGAGCTTGCTTGAGCCTTGCATGGCGGGTCATGGTTGTTGTTTCAGGCCGCGGCAGCGGCAGCCGCAGCCTCACCATTGTTGAAGACACCACTATCAACGGCACAGCAGGCTACATACGCAGCTGCAGCGACCTACACGGCGGTGGCTGCGCGCGCATACGGCGCAGCTGCAGCTGCGGCACAACCGGTCGCAGGATATGCCGCAGTCGCGGGGTAAGTGCACCACATTTTCACCCGAGGAACCCTCGTGTATGTACTCTCACTCACCACGAATCCTTCAGGATCTCTCTTTCTCTTCCTCGCTCCCTCTTTCTCCCTCCCTCTCATTCGATATACAGAACGTCCCAGATTTAGCGAGCCAACTTCCGCCTACGGATTATTTAACGAAAACTGGAGCCAATTTTTTTGGCGCGTGTGTAACTTTTATATTTAATTATATATCTACCACTGATACCTATTTAATTAAATATTTGTTCGAACGAAGTACGTGCAAAATTCAATGAAGAATTGCTCCGAATTGATTAAATGTGGCTCGGTAAATTTAGAAATTTCTCTCGTACGATGCCAAAGATCTCTCCAAAGAGAAGAAAACTTTTCGAACGTGTTCCCTTTATTCCTCTTAGAGAAAGGGAGCTTTGCAACTTTTCTTCGTTGAACGTGCTTTTTTTTTATGAGATCTCAAGATTTTTTTTTTTTTGAATGATGCTTCATTTATTTGGTATAAATTATTTATAACTTGTTATTTGACGCTTATTATATTGCTATATTATGTTTGGAGCACTATATAACGTTGTATTATCGTATTATAATGTTTCTCTCTTATATGTACTTGCAAATTAATTAACATATATTAATATATATTAGCAATTAATATATTATTGCAATAATTATGTAATGTACATTTTGAAAAATACTTATGCAATTAAGACAATATGACAACTTAATAAATTAGAATTTATCATTATTAGATGGAATGTTCACACTTTTTGGTAAAAGCATATCATAAGCTTATTATTCTTTAACAACTCATTTGGTTTATTCGAAATTATGACATGTTATCTTCATTATCAATATGAAGGACATGATTCTCCCATCATAGTTGTGGTCTGTATGCCGTCTCGTAGTGGCATGCAGATACACATGTATAGATTGAGGGACGCTTTGAAGTCACCGGCTCGACCCCATTACGAGAGTGAGGTCAGAATGCATATCATGTATTGAGCAATGAATTACCTTCATCTCACTATCCTTGACGATGTTCATTATCAACATCCTCCTTTATATTTCCCAGCAACCTCCATGTTTTTCTCATCCCTCTTTCAACGTCACAAAATACTAATTCTCCAGGAGAATTATTTATTAACAAAATCGTAACACGAAGAGTCCGTTCCTTGCAGCAAATCCCGACGTCGCGGACGACCTGTTAGGAGTCGCAGATTTGTTTCCGAAATTCAGACCCGTCCTGATAGTCCCGTCGAAAGTCCAAACCGTTCCTCGAGAAGCACCACTTTCCAAGAAACCTTAAAGCGCGCTTAATGCACTTCGCGTCGGTATCTTGCGTCCAACACAAGAGGAATATCAAGTACAAATATGAGTATTAGAATCGATTTCATATCTAACGCGTTCCATACGTACGTATGTAGCTTTCATTTCTCACTCGGAATTGTTTGTATGTGAAATTACTTATATGTTTTTTTTATATAATATGACTAATGAAAAGCTTTCTTACTTCTTTATTAAACAATTGTGTTGTTCTAATAAAAGTTGATTACTTTAATTAAATTTTAATTAGAATACAATTTTTTAATGAAAAAGTAATAGTTACATATCAACAAAATAAATGGTTATACGTTCCAAACATTTCTCTCTTAAAATCTTATATACGAGAAAGAATGATATATATATATATATATGCTATCCTACTTTAACTTATACTATCTTACTCTATGATTTTAATTGAAATTACTGACAAGGAAAAAAATGATCATTTTGTTGAAATATATTTAAAAATTTAGTTTGATGCAGATCTGAAAATAATTTTATTGGACTGGCAAAATAATTACGTAGGACATTCAAGCATAATGAGCAATGCTGCAAAAAGTTTTGACATTCTAACAAATTTGTGCCATGCGTTCTATATAATTATTTTAATGGTCTAACAAAATTATAGTAAAATTTATATATTTACATGAAAGTTTTATCAAAATAATTCGAGTAGTTTTCGAAATTTTTTGAAGAATAAATGAATTTTTTCCTTTAATTTGAATACCTTTGAAACTAAGTTGTTTTAGACATGTGAATTTTTCGTTTTGATTTAATATGAGGAATCATCCCTTAAAATCTTTTACAGTATTTAACTACCATCTTGTATACTTCTCTTTCTCATATAAGGATTTTGATAAAATCGCTCGTTGTCAGACTCTGTTAGGAATCTCTATACGTTTTGATTCCATATTTCCTCTTTCAATTTTCTTCAGGGAAAACAGTGAGAGAAATCGGAAGAGTAAAATGCGCGTATGAAATCGTTCGACTTCAGCGAATCGAAAAATCCTATCGATATTAACAATCATTTTTTTATTGTTCTTCCAGCTACGGGCGTGAATACGCCGATCCCTACCTCGGACATGGCATCGGACCTGTAGCGGGTTATGGGGTAAGAAGGAACTTCGATTACGAAGTGTACTTTTACGATTTCATTTAACGGTAGTGCCGTTAAATCGCGCACATAGATCTCTCGCGCGCGTACCACCGCCGTATGAAAGGAGAATGGAGCACCCCGTTATTACGTCATAAATAACAAGGAAAGACCACCTCGGCTATGGCGCGTTTCACTCACATATGAATTATTAATGCCAGGAATTTTCAACTTACGGGAACTGTGTCGCGACGAAAGTTAATGGTTTGTGCTCCCATCGCACGCATTTATCCTCAAATGCGACTATTCGGACCTCCGCGCCATGCCCGGTCTCAGTTTGCTCGGTGAACGCGAACCAGTACGTATTGTGTAAACGACAGGATGGTCAAACGAAATGGGTATGCACACCGTGCTCGGAAGGAGTTTAATCATTCCCGACGAACTCAATTTAACGGAGCGAAAATTAAATAAGTTTTTAGCTCGATCTCGTTGGTTTTCCGAATAGATGGTCCTACGTTACACCGCAGCGTTGCAACCGTAAATTGAAATCTTACATAAAACACCGCTTTATTTGCCATTTATCTTTGGACGGTGCATTTTTCAGCCCTCGAAATGAGATCTTGAGATAAACGGTTGCATTCAACGCTAATTGCGCCACGGTTTATACGTTAGTTTGCGCTGTGTATCACATCAAGATGGTATCTTATGAATTTTTATCCCTTGCAGGCAACTGTATACAGAGGTGGCTACAATAGGTTCACGCCATACTAAATGGATCATTAGTAGAACTCAAGAGCCTTCCAAGTTATACTCAGCAGAACATGACCAGACACGAGTCGACACAATCATCACCGTCATTTTTGTCATCATCGAGATCATCCACGAGACGACGAGCCTGGACCCTCCCTGACTCGCTGATTTCACTTTCCAACTTTGTGACTCAAGGTCATCGTGAAGATGCGAAATCCTCGACACCGAAATCGAAACAGAACTGTTATTAACGTGAAAAGCACAGTCGTGCTTTTCTACGTCAAATCTTTAAATAGTACCTTCGAAACTACAATATATAAGCGATAATTGAAATAGGCGAGAAAAATCTGTCTGTAAAAATGCAACAGCAGCGTCGAGGTCGGCGCATCAAAGTATCGAGTCGTGTTCGGCCGGAAATCGCCTTTAAAGTTGCCTCTAAAGTCGCTCCCCTGCCAGCAGCTATTCGCAGGGGGGAGTCTTCTACTTGATTCCGTTTCCATCTGATCAATTGGTCCGAGTAAATTATACTGAATTCCAAATATCAAAATTGATATAAAACTAATGGTAACTGCTTCTCTTTCGAATTTTACTCTGCACAAAATTATTTTCGATAATACCATCACGTTTCTCTGTATTTGTCATATATTCTTCTTTAATACGATATCAAGCGTTTTAATCTTGCGAACAATTTTATGAGCCACTAAATGGAATATATAATAGTAGTTATTTTTCTTTCTCTCTCTTGTTTATAGTTTCTATAAAACGCATTCATGTTGTGATATTATGTCCGATACGATGCATGATTCATGCAGGTTTGCCTATTTACTGAAATACTTGTAATATAGCTGTATATTTGTTGTAATTATTTCTATTTAAGTCAACGTTGCACATTACGATTTGCATTCATAGTCTAAATTAGCAGATAGTGTTAATAATTCGAAGGGGCTGCCGAATCGCGCGCGCGAAGAAGCCCTAAACAATTCGCACAAATATCATAGTACAGTCTTACGCACATGATTTATTTAGATGAAAATAAAATAAGCAAATGCGCGATTATTGAATTATTACCGTAAAATGATATAATATACTTTGCTGCAGTATAAGATATAATTTCTCTACGAGAAATTGACGAATGGCAGCGAGGCATTGACGATTTCAGTCGACACGAACCGACACAAGGTGATCCGAAAAAGCGAGATCTTTAGGTAGCTAGTTTAAAAAAAAAAAAAGAAAGAAAAACGACCTAGAAAGAAATAAAGGCATCCATGTGACCGGTAGGGTTTCTATGCCAAATATGTGTGTATGCGCTTTCGCGCAAGTGTGTATGCGTAGGTTTACGAACCAAAACTGTTCTCAGTAAACTTAAAGGAGTAGCTGAAAATGAAAGAAGACAGAAACAAGAACTGCTTAGACCTCTGAAACAGTATGCCGGATTTTAATTGCACAGAGTCTAATCGAATTGATTTTTTTAATTACAATAGCGCACTTTGGTTTCCATTTGTCTCCTACAATTCAATCAATGTCTCGTTCCTGAAATCTTATTCTGAAAAATTTGAACTATCTCATGTCTAATTGTTTTTATAATTTGGTCAAAACATGAACTGAATGCATCGTGTATCAAATAATAATAGAAGGATCCGTAGAAGAAAGGCTGCAAAGATCCGTTTTAATTTTTATTCTCTGGAACTGAATTTGAGATCTGTAGACTCAATTCCACGTTATGTTATTAGTCGAAAAGTTCCGCACAGCAATTTTATCGCATCCTTTCACGTATCATGTAAGAATAGAACGGCAAATACGGTTATATTGTCTTATCAATGCTTCTTCCCTCTTTTCCGAGAAAAATCCGACATCGAGTTTGTCACGCGATAACCAACCCCCCCCTCCCCCTCCCCTCCCTAGTATGTATTACTTATTTATTTAGTTAAGTGACTGAACGAACATGACAATTTTCTTTTTTTACTACAGTAAACATTAAACAGAGTTCACCTCATAATCGCTAAGCGCAGAATCTCAACGCCAATGAACGAGAGCATAGTTATAGTACATAAACAAAGATAGACTTGTAGAATACGTTTCTTGGCGTGAACCGATCTTGCAGGGCGTATCACGAATGCACTATCCGCACGAAGTTCTATCCGCTACGCTAAAAGGAAAGAAGATCCATTACGCTTAGGTCACTATTAACCGGCAAAATCAATATTGTACAAACATCTCTAGCATGGACGTTGCATACTTAGCAGATCGTTTCGGTTCCTCGATGTCGAAGTGACGCGCGTGCGTGCTTGTAAACCGAACTCGTCTTCATGTCACAAAGGATGATTAGGTCCAGCTAAATGAAATGTCGACCCAGTTGTAACAAAATACGTCGAGTAATCGAAAACGCCGATACGGATAGACATTCAATAACGTGAATACCACTTCTCTTTTTTTTTTTTCCTTTTCGAACTTTTTAGTTACGATGTACCGTAAACGATTGTATCTTGATATAAAACTGTATATTAGGTAATTTTTATATTTATATTTAAGGTTTTCTAGAAATTTTTTGTTGAGCACACATATCTTTTTATATAAATATATTTTTCGTTCTCTTGGGGAATTGTTAGTTTATTGATAGATTATTATTTTTATGATCAATCGCTGTCCATCTCGGTTTCTATTCAAATCGGCGTTCTCGGTCACTAGATTTTTTTCTTGTGACACTGCTTCCTGATCGAGTAGATATACCGGTGCGCTATATAGAAAGTAAAAGATACTCTATTTGAGAGTAATGCGAAATGGAAAAAATGGTACGCACATTAAGTCGAATGAGTGATATCTCTGTTAAATTAATAGTTAAGCGAGGATTTATCGTATATATTATACGTAAGAGTATAAGATACGTTGCGCCACGATACAAGAATAAGAAGGCGTGTAATGCGAACTGATACAACTGAAAAGCGGAGATTAAAAAGAAAAAGAAAAAGGAGGAAGGGAGGAGCAAGAAAATAAGCAGTGTGAAATAGCCAAATATGACAAAGATGTTTTAGAAAGTACGGCAAGTAGTTTGGCCGTCGTTACGTTTTAATCTAATCTTCAACTAGGACTATAGGTTAAGCTCTAGAACTCGAGGGCGCTCGAGGCAGGATGACAATTTTCTCTTTTTTTTTCCTCTCGCGAACGTCGTGTACATGTACATAGATCAACATAGATTTTTCGAGCACAAAGATCGTGGAGGAGCGTGCCGAGGAACACACTATAATTTAGAAAGTACTTTAAACGAGCAAGCGGAAGAAGCCCATTCAGACATACTCATGATTCTCGTAACGTTAAATTAATGAACGTAGATTAATTAATTGATTACACAGTAAATACGTAAAACCGGGACGGATTTTGATTTGGAGGAACGTGATGTGCGTGCTCGTCTTACGTGACGGTTGTCGGATTGAGGGTCGCGAAAATCGTCGGTTTCTCGGTAGATGCACACATCCCCTTCCGCGTAAAAGATAATAGCACAAGAAACCGTATGCGGGTTCGGAGGAGAAAAAAAGAAATCGTACGAATAAGCGTTTGTGGAAATAGAGATTTTTCGCAGCCGCACCTCAACGCGGGTGAAAGCAAGCACACAAGAGAAAGAGAGATTCTGCGAGGTTTATCTCTCCCTGTATATTGTACACTGTAATTACAATTTATACTTACTCGTAATCGATAATTTTATCGATAGGCTATATTAATATTAGTGGCTAGCGTAATAAGTCAAGCTCAAATTAGCGAGACGGGAGAGGCGCGAGATACTTTTTTTCCCCTCGCGGTTTCGTCGCGTCCCATCTTCATAAATGCACAACTTCTTTTCCTTGATTGTCCCCTTCTTTATGCGCGTTATCGTTGCGAGCAGGCCTATCGTACAAGATGTTCATAGAATCTAGAGGCTAGATCAGCTCTTTCTCTTTTTCTCCCCGCCTTCTGCCACCCTCTCACGTCTCTATTCTTTATTTCTCCTTTTGAATATTGGAGGAATATCCCGTTAATGGATTTTGTTTCCAACCAGTTGCTTTCTATCGGGAAAAGGAGTTACGGAAGGATAATGAGATTCTTTCGGCTGTTAAAAAAAAAAAACAAAGAACGCGACATATCTAGATGATAATATAATTTACGAAGAAGTGTAACATCACTTTTGCCAAATTTCTGCACATTTATGTGTGTATCTTCAGATATTCTCCGAATTTCCCTCCCTCTCTCTTTACGTCATTTCAGTCTTCGACCTTCGTCGAGCGTACCTTCCTTCTCGGATTAAAGGGATTGTTTTTCTGTGCACAAACTAATCCATATTTTTCAAATTTAAATGGCTTATAAAATTTCAAAACATACGGATTAGAGAACGACGTGCATAGAGAGGATCGCTTTTATTCTGTCGAACAAACGACGGACGCAGGCGAAGCGAATTCTTGAGCCTGAATTCTCAACTCCGCCGATGATTAATTTTTACCCTCGTCGATGATGAGACCCAGAGCTAGTGAAATCGCGCAGTGTAACATAACTCAATGATACGCACCGTACATTATACGTATAATGATTAATTAACAATAAATACCGTAAAGGGATTTTTAAATGAATCTAGATGAATACGTGACTACATAATGACACATCTTACAAGCAACATATCCTAGGTATTTGAGCAGGGCGCTGCCGGAGTATCCATCCCGTTTTTGTCGTACGATTGTACGATCGACACGAGGACGAGCATATAATTTGATCGACGTCTCGAAACCGAAAACTGTTTCGAACGGACGCGGCAGCGCCGTGCCATTCTTTTCGAATTATTGCAAAAAAAAAAATTAATGAAGGATGTTCCATGACATTAGGACGTTATTATTGATATTTCTAGCAACGCGTGCGTGTAAAGTTTAATGTATCTGTATATGAAACATGATGCGTGCCTGCGTATATGTGCTGTGTGTGTGTATGTGTGTGCGTGCATGACAGATGAGCGAGAAACTCATACCCTTTCTCCACAAATCGGTAAAATCAAGAGCACGAATTAATTAATCGTTGTAAGGTAGCACGAAAACAACAAAATGACAAATGAAGAAGAAATGCCCAGTGATATTTGGATCGCTGAAAAAACCCGAAACAGCTAAAATTGCCACCTGTTTTTTCCGCTTCTCTCGCAAATGTAAAAAAAAAAAGGAAAGAAATCCACAAAGAGAAACGCCGTTGATATCTTCTGTGTCTCCTTGCGGATTTCCTCTTCGAACCGCGCATAAGCGATTTGTGCGGGCCGACAGTTCAACGCAATAGCGAGCTCGCAAGAGAAATTAATGGAAATCGGTAAAAGAGTGAAAAAAGAAAAGAGGTATAAGAGAGGAAGAATATACGGTCAACTCGATGAACTTTATTTGCAAAATATTGATAGGAATATAAGGTGTGACTCGTGACACCTTTATCATTGTCTGATTTGATGATATTTTGTAAGTCTGGACCAGTTGTTAGGTTCTTATTAATCTCATAGCAACTTCTTATGGCGTATTTTCTCTGTATATTGTCAATGTTTATTATTAAATATTTTTCAAATAAACCGATGTCTCTTTTTTTCGCACCCTGTCTTTATACCCACACAATTTTCGCAAAGATATAAGGTTGACTAATACGCTTTTATAGTTAGAAGCTTGTATTACATTTATAGTAGATTTTATTTTTAACAACCCGGATATTTTGCGAAGTATAAAAATTTATCATTCAAATTATAGTTATGTCAGTTTTTGAGAATTTATTTTTTTGAAATCTGACATTTTAATATGTGAACTTCATATTTGCACGCTGTCTTTGTAATATTTCGTGTCATTTAAAATAAAAAACGGAATAAGAAAAATAATATAGATAATATGGATTTAAATATTAGATAATTTTAAAAACTCGTAAATGTTAGAATATAATGATGAAAATATCGATAATAAATGCGATTAAAACCGACAAGAGAGTGGCATCATGAAAATTTAATCTAAATAGCAAGACTACTTTTAAGATTTGTTTTCTTTAACAAAATAATCGTAATGCTGCGTGTGTTAATGTTTCTATTGCATTTTAGTACTATATCTGACAGTGAACAGTATCAGAATAACGTAAAATCTAAGTGAATGAAAAAGAGCTAATAAATTGTTTGCAAAGAATTTTTTTCTTTAAATATTATTTTATGCATTATGCAAAAGATTCGAGAACGTTGGAACAAACGGAATTTATTAAATAACGACGAAAAGAATGAGTGAATCTCACAGAATTAGAAAACCGGAACGTCATTTTAGCAAAATGTGTAATAATTCTTTTTTATGATATTCTGTATGCGATATTCTTCTTAACGCATTTTGGCAAAATATCTAACAGCAAACAATGTTAGATTGACGTTACATAATGTATTACAAATTATTATAAATAAATAAAAAAAGTGACGAGACGAGCTTATCGACGTTAGAGGTTAGATACTTGCGAGAGAATTCAAATTGTCACATAAATACATATACATTTTCTAAAAATTATTTAGCAAATTAATTAACAATATATATTTCGATTTTTCGCCGAAAACAAATAGATGGTTTCAATTTGTTAAATAATTATATCTCAGTATAAAGATTGTAGTCGCGTTTTGCATTCGCGTAAATTATTTGAAGAAACATTATTAATATTTATACATACGTTAATAATTAAATAAATAGAAAATTTTAACACTAGATTATAATTAAACAATAACGAGAATTTAATTATGCACTTAGAGATGCTTAAAGATAATTAAAATAAATAATATTGAAGGATAAATTCAGACGGTAAAGTAGGCAAGATTCAAGTTTTATCTTCGACAATATTATGTCCTCGAAAATCACGGAAAAATCGCCTCAAATATTAGCAAAGCATGACAAGTAAGGAGGCATTGTTGGAGGTATTCTGGGGCGAGTTTTTGGCGTCAGAGATTCCCGAGAAAATTACTACTGCTTATTAGGAAAACATGTTGAGCGAAGAGGTCGCAGGAGGTATTCCAGGAGCGCCACGGCTATCCCACTCTCGCTCCCCTCCGTAGGCGTCACCGATACCGCCGACCAATGAGAACGCTGGAGAATTTGCGTGGAAGAGGAGGAGACAGCGTCCCCCTCAAATAAATCTACCAATTACCGCGTCGATATAAGGAGGGGAGTACACCCAGTTTCAGAATACTTCCAACTACCTCCTTGCTTATCCTGTTTTGCGAATATTCGAAGCGATTTTTCCGAGATTTTCGACGACATAAAACCTGATTCCTGTCTAACCTTACCGTTAAAGTTTATCTTTTCATTAATTTTAATGATCTTTAGCGTCTCTACGGATGAATAATTAAATATCCATCATTGTTTAATTATAATTTATTGTTAAAATATTATATTTATTTAAAAAAATTAAACTAGTTATTAATAATATTCTTTTAAATAATTCATTCGAACAATAAGACGCAACAATAAATTTTGCACACTAATAATGTCACTTGCGATATAAAACAATAATAAATATCTATTTGTTTCCTTAAAAAAAATGAAATATATGTCTTATTTCCACACCATAGACTTGTTTCTTTCGAAAAAATAAAATGTATGTTAACTTCTTTCGAAAAAATGAAATGTATGTTGACTTATTATGTTAATTAGCTTGCTAAAAATTTATTAATAAATAGAAAATATATGTACGTATCAATTCTCTGTAAAAAATGAGATATTTGAGTTCTCTCGATACCTATCTAATTTCTAACCTATCATGTCGGTATCGTGCGCTTCGCCATCTTATTCTATTAATGATTTACAGAGATATTTTTTTTTGTTATATAAATTATGCAAAAATATTGAAGCTTTTCACTGTCAATTTGTTTTGCTATAATAAAATCATAAGGAAGATTATCAATTTAATAATATATATATACCTATCATTTAATGAGAAAGATCTATAAGTATCTATAATTTCTAGAACTTTTTATTGTTGAATCCTATTCAACAATCATTAACAAATGTATAAAATATGAAGATATTTTTCGAAAATTGTCCAATTAAACATCGATACATAGAGCTTTGCTTATCTATTTTTTTTTCGTTTCGTGCAATAATATTTCACAATTTTAGCATTAAAACTCATTTTTTTTAAATTGTATATAAAATATCTATAATTTAAATTTAATTTAATAATTAATATCCTTAGCAATTTGTCTCGCAAATATATTTACATACATCAGTGACATATTAAGATAATTAATTGTCAAATCTTTTGCAAAAATATGTATACTTATCATTAATAATTACAAAACATTGTTAAAAAAAAGATATCCTTCAATTATGTGTTTCAAATTTAATGTCTAAAGATTTGCCTCTTTTGATTAAATTTATACATAAAGAATTAAGAAAGTTACACATAGTTAAATAACAGTTAATGCAGTTCAACATATTCATGGTTACTATATTTTATTTCAAACGTGTTATATATAAATTATCAGAAAAATACAATAGCATAATCGTAATATATTATAAATGTTAAACAATCCTGAGTAATTAATCTACATAAGGGACAATCGAAAAATTTTTAATATCTCTATCGTTTGAATATCGAGCGAATCACTGGAACGAATCGCAATAATAATCGCAGTAATAATATATAATATAAAATACAATAATAATATATAAACAATCCATACACACGATATATTGAGAATTGGAGACGAAGGGGAAGGAATTAATTGTCTTATATTTTATTAATGCTTAATAAAACGTCATAAACTATACAGTATTAACATCAAATGATCGCAATCCGAAAAACATTTACACAATGAGAAGATGCGATAATACACAGTGCAATGCCATATCGCTATATTACGTGCAGTATCTATACATAACAAGAGCGAGAAACAAACGTAAAACGATCTTTTCGTTCTCGATTAACAAACTAAAAAATTTCTTTTTTTCCTTTTCACTTATCCAACCTAGTGTCAGAAATATCTTCTCTGTGTAATAACCAGAAGTGCATAATTTATAAAATATTTGTGTCTTAAAGATAACAAACTTAACGGGATCCCCTCTGGGAGAGGATAGATGTACGCAAGTATAGAATCAAATTTAACCAGCGTAAAATGGAATCTTTCGTTTAACTTGACAAATATACTCAACAAATACAAACCTTCAGAATCACGAAAATCTAATGATTTTAGACATTTAATTATTCGTATTTCAACGCTTAGAAATATTATTTCCTTTGACAATAACCATAGGATATGTTTCACACGAAAAATCAAAGCGTAATTTCATTCATCGAATACGCTCAGCCGATACAAATTTTTAAAAGATTACGGAAACCTAATACATATTTATCCTTGGTCCTATATATTTTTACATCGAAACACAGTTCTATACTACATTATAATAGGCTGCCTCTCTCACGACGGTTGTATACATGATTCGTAATACACGTTTTCTTAATACACGTTCGTTTTTAGCACCATTAAACAAAATATCGTGAAAAATTTCGCACATTTTGCGTTTTGCGATAATTAATGCCCCGAAATATGTATTCCAAAATCGCAACATTCGCGGAAAGTCAATTGTAGCAAAAAGTTTACTCGCAGCTAGCGATAAAAACCCCCTTATCAAAGTCTAAATGCAATATCAAAGAACGGCCGCCCGCAAAAGTGACGTGACGTGAGTAAATACGCTTAGAAAAATTTCTTGGAAAAAATTCTGTCAAAAACGACCTATCTCTCTCTCGCAATCGATAGGCCCGCGATGAATTCTCTTGACATTACGAATTTTCACATCGTGGAAGAAGAAGGGATTGCGCAATCCGTCCTCTTCTAATAATTGGGACCCGTTTCGGCTATTGAATTATGTTTACTTAATAAACATGTTCAATATTCACGACGAGCGCGATCGGTGTATCAACTTTGGTCCATCAAAAATCATCCTAGCTTCACATGATTCTCGTACGGCAGTGGTGAAATTGTCTGTATTCACACGAATAGTAGATATCCGAATGGTCCGTGTCTCATCGAGCGTTTTAAAAATTATTTTTACGATTCCATTGTATGTATTATATATCAAAATATCTCCAGTCTTATGGTTTCGAAAGAAGAAACATCAGAACAATATTTCTTCTTTTATTTCAATATTATAAATGA